CAACTGACAAACACTATTCACTTGACTCTGAAGATGACTTCCGCTCAGGTTGTCGAAACGTCAGTCACCAACAACAGTTCTTTTGAGAACTACCCTCACACGGACAATCACACTATACGAACTACTTATACTTCTGGGTTCAAACCATTTACAATACTACGGAAACTTCACTGAATTTGTAACTAATAAGTCTAATGAGGGACTGGTCAAAAAGTATTGGGTGGTGGTGGTGGTGGGGTGGGGGAGATTAAGCCGGAGCAGACAGGGGATGGTTCATCAGTTTTTGAGTCCTTGTTAAGAAAGAAGTGGGCCCGTCAATTTCGGGTTACCCATGGAGAGGGGTCACATTTGACACAATCGATAACAGAGGTAACTCTTTCCAGTTCCAAAAGCTTAGGACGAAAATTTTGCGAGCCGTGGCTGAAAAAGTACACGTGGTTGGTGTACAATAGGGATAGCAATTTCATGTATTGTAAACTCTGTACGAAAGCTAAGAAGTCTAACGGAAGTCCAAGGGCAGAAATCTTCAAAGTACTGCGCGTTTTCGTCTTGCTGGTCTTCAAAAACACAGGTAGCGAGGCTAAACGCCAAGTGTGAAAGGTTTACGGTCAGGCTTTTTTAGAGTTTAAGGACATGACCTAAAGTTGCAAAAGTAAAGGAAAAGAGTATTAGTTTTGGATAGTTTTGTATTATTGTTAAGAAAAAAATCTAAAACGTAAATAATACCACAATTCCATACAGAAAATGTGATTTTGTTGAATTACGCAACCAAAAATGTCATTTTTTATATAGGGTGGGTCATGTTATTTTCAACTTTCATTTAGTGGTGGGCCACTCGGTTTTGTGCCAAATGGGAAGGGTGGGTCATACGTTTTCTAACCGCCACATTTTCAAATGCCCGAGCCCACCCCCAACACCCCCCCCCCCCCTCTGTACTTTTTGACCAGTCCCTAATACTAATAAGTTGCAATCAATTTTGTAATGCGATTTTTCCTCTTAATGTCAGCTTATCCTACGTGTCAGCCAGACCAATTTACTTGCGCTAACAGGCGCTGTATTCCACGACGGTGGGTTTGCGATTTTGATGATGACTGCCATGACAACTCTGATGAGCAAAGATGCTCTCCAGGTACGAATACTTCATTCGATCAGGTCGTTATAACCAACCAACGGTTAACGTTGCTGTGGCACTTAAAACACTTATAGACCCTATTCATAAATGGCTGCTGATTTAAGATTCTTTTGAATGGGTTTAAATGAGGCCAACTGACCTCGTTTGAGAGTAAAAATTATTTTGAATTATCAACTCAAAAACGAGGTTAGTTGGGCTAATTTTGATACTTACAAAATAGAACATATGATGATTTTCAACGTCGCTTAAAATGTACCTGTGTCAATTAGTTCTATTTGTTGGTTTAATTTGACGAAACTGAAGATGAAACTGATGTGCTTATTAAAAACAGGTTTAGTCCCAGCTATAGCATTCCACCCAGGCAATTGTTCATCCTCGCAGTTTTCTTGTCGCAATGGTCGCTGCATTCCAAGTAGCTGGTTTTGTGATGGCGACCAGGACTGCGGTGATGGATCTGATGAGCCACAAACTTGCAATTGTATGTACAAAGCAAAACTTTTAATTTTTTTTTATTTTTGAAATATCTGTTAAGCGCAAACTTATGCTAATGATAGTGAAACTTCGGTCCGTAAACTAATTTTAGCATGAAATTGTAAGGAACGGCACACAAAGGGTACTGAAGCATTAATAGAAATGCGGAAGTGTCGACCAATCAAAATGGGCAGCATGGGAACCCAATTATGAACATTTAAGCAACCTGCGTTCGTCTCTAAAGAAATCTTATCCAACGGTTTACGTTTTAAAATAATTAAAAACATAACTATAATGAAAATGTAAACAAGTAAAATGTAAGCCGAAAGGAAACTACAAAACGTTTTCAAAATGATGCGCGGGAATAAAATAGGCTTTCCAGTTTTTATTCTTTGGTTCCTTGACCCAATTGTGACATCATTCCCAGACTAAATTAACTTTTTTCATTCTCGTGGCTTTGGCTAGCTTGAGTACAAGATGACTAGTTAGCTTAGCGTTGATGTCCAATCCATGCCTACAAAAGAATATTAATTAAACTGCCCAACAATAAGGTGTCTAATAACAAAATTTCCTTTGCTTTGCGTACGCGCTTCGTTTAGTTCCTCTATAACTGCGACTGAATACTCCTTGATATATACCTGTAACTATCAGAAATAGCTTATACAACTCCGGTCCATAATCTTGCAATTGCAGAACACAATGAGTCAATGACACTTCTTCTTACTTTGTGTAGATACGACTCCAACTATGGCCGCTTCAAGCCCACCCAGTAACCGCCCTACAAGCTGTAGATCTTATGAACATAAATGCAACAATAGCTTTTGTATTTATCGATGGGATGTATGTGATGGTGTTAATGACTGTGGGGACAACTCAGACGAATGGTATTGTGGTATGTATTGACTGTCGTGTATGCCATTTCAAACGACGACAGCGCAAATTCGGTAATACTACAAGAAGTATTTTGTGAATTGTACTAAACATAAAAGCAATACTTTCCGCCATTTTTGTCCATATTTCATTTCATCATGCATGTAAGTGGAACCTTTGTCACGGCTTTGACAAAAGATCTATATGCTCAATGTATTTTCAGTCAAACGTATCTTAAATGTCGTTGGGGAAAATAATGCTGTCAGTACTTATGGTGGTGAAAACTGAAACTTGTTTTGGGCATTGCTCAATATCTCTGCCGCTCTCGCGAGTTCGGGAGGAGAGCGCCGGGGCTCCTTACACGAATAGTGGCTGGTCATCGAGCCTAATCATGCTCCAGCTTTGTTGTGGCAACTGAACATAGAAACATAAGAACCACAAGTTCTATAAAATAAAGATTTCTATGTTCTTGGTTTTGTTTACCTACAACGCCAACCGCGACTCCAAACGCCACCACTGCATCCTCCAGGTTTTGTCACTACTGGGAATTCACTTGCGCTAATGGACGGTACATCAACGGTGCATCAACAGTGTATACGTTTTAAGTGTAAAAATGTACGCTTTACTATTGTAATCCACACTTTATTCTGCTTCTTTTTACTCACAAATTTATACTTCCTATACATGCCTCTATACTCTTCCACGCCATGCATCTCACTCAATTTTGGCTTAAATAATTGGTTGAGACAAAAATTGGTTAAGACAATTATTGTGGCATCTTCTTTGCATTAATAAATCTTACATTTCTTCATGAATTGAAGTGGTTGAAATGAAATGCAAGAATCTAAAACTTTTCACATGTTCACTCTTACCGCAGTAACAACAACAGGCAGGCCGGTTTCCACCAAGATTCCATCCTGCCCGGATGGGTGGCTCCACTGCTTGCACGATACTTCCATCTGCATAAAAACAGAACGGTTGTGTGATGGAGTTCTGAACTGCCCGGGACACTGGGACGAATTGCCACAAAATTGCCCAAGTAAGTTTGAGGTTACGTTTTTGGCCTGTTGAGGTAAATGTTAACCCTACCAGCTTGAAACTACTTAGGATTTGCTTATGGAATCTCTCAGAGGACTCAGTGGACTACAGCTTAGTGTAATAATTGAAGAAGCGTTCTCAAGTCGAATTACTCAGAAAATAAATTTTCTGAGTTCCCCAACGGGAGTCGAACCCATGACCTTCCACAGTACCAGTTGGACGCTCTAACCACTGAGCTATGTTTAGTGTGCTGGATTTCAGATTGAGCAGTATTAGTTCAACTGAGCCTTGACCGGGTCACGGTGTTGTCATTGTGGGCAAGTCACGTTACTCTTAGAGTCTCCCTCCCTCAGATAATTATATAAATTAATGCGTAGCAGCAAGTTTAATTCTGGCTTGGAGGAGGGGGTATCCATAAGATAGAGTAACGTCACATCCCTAGGAAGTAGTAGTAACCCTAACTGCTTCATGCAACGTAAACCGACCGAGATTAAGGCTGTCCTCCAGATAACTGGCTCTCACCCGATCAGAAAAGCTGAACTCGGGATATCCTGGCGCTATGCCTCTTTAAAAAACACATTGTACGGTTAGGAAAAGTGTCGAGTTTTGAAAGGTGCTTTTTAGCGCTTTCTTTTTTTCTTCACAGACAGCACCTTGCAGGTAACGAATGTTCAGGCAACTCCACTTTCAAGTGGGACTGCTGTTAACATTTCTTGGCATCAAATCTCTTATCAGCCACCAGGTTCTGCCTTTCCTGGGTACAGAATCTCTTACCGGTAAGTAAACAATTCAACGGTGTTACTGTAGTCTTAAATAGGATGTTTTGGAATGGAGTGTTCGTGACAGTGTTAACATTTAACTTCAAAATGAGGGAATCAGGTACGAGTTTTGTCTGAGGCCATTTGACCGAGATCATCACCAAATAGGAGGTGGTTTCATGGTCTCTAAGAAAATACTGTACTCTTGAGGTCCAGTAAAGCTGCTAGTGTATCTACACGCGGAGTGCGATTGGGTTCAGCAGTTTTTCTAGACCTCAAAAGTGTTAGAAAACACAGGAGCACCATTATAATATAGCATGAAAAGGAAAAGTCTTTAGATCTGAGAGGGGGCAGTGATTGCGATGGAAAATGAACATTGGGACAGACATGAAAGTTCCTCTTAATTTACAGCCGTGTATCTTTAACCGTGCTCCGATAGCTAGTATACGGCTGATGAAGGTGGGCAGAGGCCATTGAAAAATTCAGTAAAGAAAAATCATGGATCGGACAACAAAGAAGTTTATTATAAGAGAATGTATTGCGTTGTTCTTTAGAACGACACATTTTTTGGCTTGTACAGCCGGCACATAAATTTCAATGAGTGAAGTGGCAGTTTTTCTTATTGTATTATTTATTTTGTAGGGCTGTTAAGCTACATTCTTTACAAACTGTGGATGTCTGGCACATGGAAGACGCAAAAAGCATCAACTATCACATTGTCTCCAATCTTCAAACATGCTCAGAGTACGAATTTAGGGTACAAGTCCTTTTAAATGGATCTAGACCAGGTCCGTTCTCAGCTGCTGTCAAAACAGAAACCATAACAGTCAGTAAGTTCTATATAGCGACGGAGTTTGGACGGTAGATAGCCTGTTCCGGGCTTTTGTTAGTTGTGGAGAGCGAAAAACGACGAGACAGAAAAAATAGGGCAGGGTTTAGGGGATTTAGAGGAAGGAGCGAAAGAACACCTGTGAGCTTTTTCAAACAAATGCTCTTTCCAGTATTCCAGATTCTGAAAACGGGATATGGCGGCGGTACTCAGAGACACTTTATCGAATCACGATTACATTTTGGATACTGTGTGATCGTTACTCGACTCAGGGAGTTCCCACTTGTCAAGTTACTTCCAGCTAACTGTATAAGCGCGAAGGGAAGTTCCACATTGAACCCAATAGAATTCAGCTGATTGAATAAAGATTGCCTGTCACAAGACATGAGTGAGGTTCAGTTGGGCTGAATTAATTTTGCCGTAACGTGCCAGGCGAACGTAATTCTAAACGTAATCTTACATCAAATATCGGTAAGGAAAATTGCGACAATCACTTCTCCCTTAGTAACTAACCTTCCTCAAGGAACTTGATGACAAAATCGTTTAACTGTAAACCTCCCCTGTTTCTTACGCTATGGTAATATTTTACGGATTATTTTAAAATAATGATCTCATTGTCGCATTGGTGTGACGTCCTCCCAGATAGAAAAGCGGTGATTCTGTTAACGTGGAATTCTTTTCTTAATTAATTCTCTCCGAAAATAACCTCACAAAAAGAAAAAAAAAAA